AAGTAGGAATAAGAGATCCTCCGGAATAGGGCTTTATTCTGGAGGATCGGGCCAGTCTAGATGCTTTTTTCCGGCTTTTCCCCAAGCTGGAAAAAAGCGGCGGACATCTTTATTTAAATCCCGCGGGGGATATTTAAATCCCCCACGGATTTCCCTATTCCGAAGTTTAAAAGTAGCATGCCCCTTTCGAAAAAGGGGCCAGTGTAGACGTAGCCCCAGGGAAGATAATGGAGCAAGTAATTAAGTAATCCATCTGCAAATACCTGGAATATAATAAGGTGATAGGTAACAGCAAGCATGGATTTGTAAAGAACAAATCATGTCAAACCAATGTGATAACTTACTTTAATTGGATAATAAGTCTTGAGAATAAGAAAGAAGCAGCAGACGTGGTATATCTAGACGTTAGAAAAGCATTTGATATGGGTTTCACATGACCCTTTCAAGAAATTAGGGAAACACAACTTAGATGGGGCTACTCTAAGGTGGGTGCATAACTGGCTGGATAACAGTTCTCAGAGAAAAACTTAAAAAACAACAAAAGGTCTGGTAGCACTTTATAGACAAACAAAACACGTAGATGGTCATAAGCTTTCGTGGGCACAGTCCACTTCTTCAAATGACTGGAGTTTCCCAGAGAGTAATTAATGGTTTATAATCATGCTGGAAGGGCATAACAAGTGAGGTTCTGCAGGGGTCTGTTTTGAGACCAATTTTGTTCAGTATCTTCATCAATGATTTAGATGATGGCATAAAGAGTATGATTATTAAGTTTGCTGATGATACCAAGTTGGGAGGGATTGCAAGTGCTTTGGAGGATAGGGTCATAATTCAAAATTATCTGGACAAACAGGAGAAATGGTCTGTGATAAATAGGATGAAGTTTAATAAGGACAAATGCAAAGTACTTCCCTTAGGGAAGAACAATTAGTTTCACACATGCAGGATGGTAAGTGACTGTTTAGGAAGGAGTACTACAGAAAGTGATTTACAGATCATATTGGACCACAAGCTAAATATGAGTCAACTGTGTTACTGTTGCAAAAAAGCAAACATGATTCTGGGATGCATTAACAGGAATATTGTGAGAAAGACACAAGAATTTATTCTTCTGCTGTACTCTGCACTGATTAAGCCTCAGTTGGAGTAGTGTGTCCAGTTCTGGGCACCACATTTCAAGAAAGATATGGAAAGATTGGAGAAGGTCCAGATAACAGCAACAAAAATGATTAAGGGCCTAGAAATCATGAGCTATGAGGGAAGACTGAAATAATTGGGCTTGTTCCATTTAGAAAAGACTGTGAGGGAGCATAACAGCAGTTTTAAGTATCAAAAAGGGTGTTACAGGGAGAATGGAGAAAAATTGGTCTCCTTAGACATTGATGATAGGAGAAGAAGCAATGGTTAAGGAAGGTTCAGATTGGACATGAGAAAAAACTTGCTAACTGTCAGGGAATAAATTGCCTAGGGAGGTTGTGGAATCTCCATCAGTGGAGCTATTTAAGAGCAGTTTGGATAGACATCTATCAGGGTATGTCTACACTACCCCGCTAGTTCGAACTAGCGGGGTAATGTAGGCATACCGCACTTGCAAATGAAGCCCGGGATTTGAATTTCCCGGGCTTCATTTGCCTAAGCGGGGAGCCGCCATTTTTAAATCCCGGCTAATCCGAACCCCGTGCCACGCGGCTACACGTGGCACGGAGTAGCTAGTTCGGATTAGGCTTCCTAATCTGAACTAGCTGTACTCTTCGTGGAATGAGGAGTAGAGCCCCGTGTAGCCGCGCTACACGGGGTTCGAACCAGCGGGGATTTAAAAATGGTGGCTCCCCGCTTATGCAAATGAAGCCCGGGAAATTCAAATCCCGGGCTTTATTTGCAAGTGCGGTATGCCTACATTACCCTCCTAGTTCGAACTAGGAGGGTAGTGTAGACATACCCTCAGGGATGAGCTAGATAGAGCTTGGTCCTGCTATGAGGGCAGAAGGCTGGATATTATGATCTCTCAATGTCCCTTCCATTTCTAGTATTCTAAAATTCTGTTCAATGCAACATAGCTGGGAAGAGGACCCACAGTATTTAAATAAAAAAGCACATATTATGGAATGAATTGTAAGAGAGTACCTAGTATAGTATCTATGTCATGTTAGTCTACTCCAGATTTGGGAATTTTACCAGAAAGTTAAAATAGTTATTGTAAGGGAAGTTGTATTCTGTGCAGTGCAGGATTGAAAATGGTCTACAGAATCTTAATCTAAAACTATAAACAGTTTGTCTGTGATTCCTTCTAGATGTTCATCTTTAGTTAGGACAAAGACAACAGCTACAATGACTACAACTACAAAAAGTAGCGTGAGCTCTTCCTAGCTGTTGAATTTTAGATTTTGCAACACAGCCTATACTTCTACCCCTTCTTCATAGAAGCCACCTGACTGCCATGCTGTAAACAGCACTTTATAGCGATCATGTCCTGGTCATTCAGATGAAACGTATTATGGAGTTTCTTGTCTAGGAATCTTGTTGCATTCTTGGGCCTAGCTTGGAACACTGGCTTGAAAGGTTATATGAGCTATGTTTTGCAATGAAGGAAAACATCCTATACTCCTAGACTTTCCAAGAAATTAGGTGCATCATATTTTTAAAACAATGCCTGACACTAGGGATAGTAAGGATCAAGAGAAAGCAAAAACTTCATTCTGGGTCTTTTAAGCTACCTAAAACACCATCTATGAACAATGTACATTCTGGTAAGCATGTCAGCGAGAAGGGGACAACATGGATCAAAGTCATGCCCATCTACATTGCCTTAAAAGTTCATGTGAGCTCACTAATTTGGATCACAAGATAGGAGAACAGATAATACAAGGATGTCTGTCAGCTAAACTGAGAAGAAAACAACATCTCCAAGACCCCCAAATTACTCTCATCAGAAAACTTGACACTGCTTGAGTGAATAAGCTGTCAAAGATATGCTCAGAAAACCAAGAAGGAAGACTGATGAGTGTAGAAACAGCACACACTTCACTGTGAGAACTCAATCTGGAATCAAGTGCGGTGTTCTCAAGACAATAATCAATCCCAGAAAACTCAGGGTTCATCCTCAAAGATGACAAATATAAAATGCTACAAACATGGAGTCTCACACTTTCATCAAGGGGACAGCCTAGCAAAAGGGCTTGTCTGTTATAGTGGTGGATAATGAAACCATCGTGCAAAAGTCTGCAGATCTGCTACTCCCTGCAAAATTGAGAAACATTTCCAATGAGGATATCCAGATCAAGTTAATGTGCTTCGATCAGACTCCAGAAAAGATAACTGCTGTTTATTTTCTCAGGGAATATTGTAACATTTTCTCAGGTAAAAAAGTGTTGTAAGCATGGTTTTCAACCAGTGACACCACATCATCATCATACACAAGGAAACAGAATATTAATTTTAATTGACACCAGTGCATTAATGAACTTGATGAATCAACATGTATGAGACCATACCACATAAATCACTTTTATAACCGGTGGCAACAGAAGTATCTGCCTAAGGAAATCCACTGACAATCAATGTTCCCTCTAATCTTTTCCTTCCACATGCAAAATGTTTCTATGTGCACCGAGGCATATGAGAATGTGCACCACCTAGCAGAAATAAAAACCTAGCTGTGGACACTCTACTATTCAGTTGGGCAGTGTTTGAATCTCTCCTGAGTGGCCACACAAGTGCAGAGCTTGCAGGGAACACTGCTGACAGTGTGTCATGCATTCTTGGTTCATTTTGTATTTAAGGACAAGTCTATTATCCATTTGATGTATGTAGTCACTAATGTCACAGATTAGCTATACCACTGATTACACTGATTAGCTATACCACATCAAGTGCAGTAGGAATGATTCAAATAATCCAAATGGTACAGCCCAAATCAACTCTTCCTGTCTCTTGGAGACACATTTACAGGAAGTGGGAAGTTGAAAGGACAAATACAATTGTACATTTATAGCATGGCTCAGCCTGTAGTTTTACCACAGGGATACATTTATTTCTGTGTCACAAAGCAAGCAGAAGAAGAACTAGCATATTTGGAAGAGTCTGACATCCCTGTGCCAGTTGAAGGCCCCAATACCATCAGTTTTGTCTATATCAAGGACCCAAAAACATAAGCAGCCATGCAAATTTGCATGGATATGAATTTACCTAATCATGCTATCAAGTGAGAGAAACACATTAACTCTATTGTAAATGAGATTACTGCACATATACATGCATCAAAGGTCTTCTCCAAGCTTGACTTCACAGCAGGATGCCATAAACTTGAGCTCTACTCTGACTGGAGGTACAAAACAGCTTTCATGGATCTATGCCAGTAATATGAATGTCTCAGTTTTGGCATTTCTTCAGCTTTGGCAATATTTCAAAACACCACGAAGTACTGATGGGATTCTCTGGTCTTTGTAATGTGGGTAATAGCGTTAGTATTTGGCACCACATCTGAAGAACACAATACTCCGAACCACTGCAGGAGCAGAATCTCACATTCAACCCAAATAAATGTGAGTACAATAAACTAACAATACACATTCTCCAAAGACAGTATCTGAGCAAAGCCTAAGAAAGCAAAGGATAGTCACAATGCCACTGAGCTTATGAACCACACTGAAGTTCTTAGCCTGCTTGTGTAACGCACACACCTAGTGTGGTTACTGAACAATGCAAGTGGTACCTAGACCACAGCAACAGTTAAGATCAAGAGACCTCTACAGCATGGGCTAGGAGCCAGCTAGCTTTTAGCTCAGAGGGTAGAGGCTCCTATACTCTGCTCCAGAGGTCCCAGGTTTAAATTCGCCTAGTGGCAGTTACACTAGGACTAGCAAATTTCTGAGGCAGATTTATTGCTAGGTTAACTATTATCACTCATCTTACTGTTTAAGATATCTTTCCTAGAAAGATTAAATATAGGTTTGGTCAAATGACCATCAAAGTGCATTTGAGGAAATGAAGAAATCCCTTACCAGAGATGTAATTTTTTCATATTTGAGTCTGGTAAGAATGGAACTGTTGATAGATGCCTGTTGTGTTCAATTAGGAGAAGTCCTCAGATGTCATTTCATGATTCTGATTGACCAAAAATCTCTTAACCTTACGTTCAACTGTCAATCATTTTCCCACCAGCTTGCACTGGGTGTGGATGCTCGAAATGTAAGATAGGGAATATAAAGTTGCTTGTTAGCCTATCAAGAATAACCCTTTTGAATACTTCTCCAGGCACTCTATTCCTGAAACAGCAAACAAACAATCAGAAAATTACTAAACATGCATATCTCATTACACAATTCCTAAAGCTCTTGTTACAACAAATAAACAGTCACATATATCATGAAAAAACTTTCAAAGTAGTCAATGGGAAATGCTCCTACTTAGTTAAGACACAAGAGAACGCACTCCCAATCTTGGATAACCCTGATAAGTAGTATCAATTATGTTTAAAGATGGACAAATTGAGGTTGAGGGACTAATGAAAGGTCAGTGTCAACCTTCAGCCAATCAAAATTTTCACTTCATAAAAATTATAATATTTTATAATAATTATGAAAAATGATAGTCATTTCTTTCAAAAACCAACACAGGTCTAAAATGTTGATGGCCTGTGTTAATACCAATTGGTCAAGCTAAAAGACTTTCCAGTTCCCCCTACTACATCTTTGGTTCTTACATGAACCAAAAGCACAAAAAATGGTGGATGCATTTAAAAACCACATTTAAAAAACACACTCTTCCCCATGCAGATGAATTATTGCAGATAGCTAATCTATGAGTTATACAGAACATACTCCTGCATATGTACAATCATGATCTATGATTTAGTTCACTTCCAAATTTCCTAAACATGAATAATATTTAGTTATTTTTCTTAGGACTATGCCAGGAAATTCAATACATAAATCAACAGTGCTTCATAAATCAATAGATACAAAAATTCCCCATCACTAGATCAGAAAGAAAGCCTCATTTCATAATATAGTCGGATCAGGGCTCCTGACAAAGGGGAGGGGAGAGCAGAAACAAAATGATAAGTTGTCTGAGAGCCTGGAAATTGAAAAGGGCCTGAGGCTCTCAGGTGTAGCCACCATCACTACCATGGCAACTGCAGTGGCCAGAGCCACAGGTCTTTTAAATAACTGCCAGAGCCGCATGAGGGGCGAACTGGGAATTACTGAAAGGCTAGCTGGCTAAGGCACACCTCTAGCCATGTCCATTCTGCCTGAGGCCCTGCTCTTTATGGGAGCCCAGAGCCAGCCCCCACATCTTGTCCAGAGCCCCAGCAATTCTGTCAGCAGCCCTGAGTCAGATTGACTAAACTTTGTACTTGATAGTCCAAATCTTGCAGATCACATATCAAGGGGCCCACTACTGGAAAGTGGTTATATAACTAAAATTAGGCTTTGAAGAAAACCATTCACTCTGCACAGTGGCCATTCATTTGCTACACCGAAAAAAGTGAGCAGCGAAGGCTTTTTTAAGTACCTAATTTGCAAATGTTGATCTTTATATTCATAACGGACATAAAATTAAGCATATGCATATTTTCAGGCTTGGAGTCTAAATGGGTAAAATTCATTATGCTCATTGTAAAGACGTGCAGATGATCTTTAACAATTCATGAAAACTGTCTGTGGTCCAGTTATTGGAATCATTACTTGATGTCTATACTGTTTATTTTATGCATACATTGGTTCAGTTTTATAGCAGGGGTGCTAGGAAATGAGCAGGAAGGCAGCACAATGGCTAAATAAGGAATCTCCTGGTAATGAGACAATGTTTAAGTTATTAATGGAGAATTATTACTTCCAGGATCGTGCAATGTTACAGAATTAAAAGTTGGGAGCCAAAAAGATCAAAAAGGAGAGTAAACAATTAAAAGGTCACTCATTAGGGAGAGTGTGGTGGCTGTTATCAGGGAGCTGTTCAGCGAACAGACTGACAGGGGAATGCGGGAATGTGTGAAGATGCACAATCTGCTTGTCTTAATGCCTCAGGATTGTACAGGTTAGGCCCGAACCTTAAAGGCAAGGTACACATGAATGCATTTTGTTGTGCACTTTCCCTGTGTTTATTCCTGATGTGCAGGTTAAACAATCATTGGTCAGAGAAGGCTATCTGGTCACAAACACCTAGGAAGAAAATGTGCATGTGCCAAACCTGCTAAATAATCATGGCTGAGATGCAGGGTACTAAAACCTAGGGCCCAGTCTAAGAGTGGGAGAATGGCTGGATTTTTCCCCGGGACAGGTGAAGGTATTTGTGCCATTATGGTGTGGAAGGAGGGATCCAGGTACCCATAATTAAGAAAAAACTATCCAATGATTCAATCATCTACATATTAACTTTAATAGATCAAACAAATTTGCCCCTCTCCATTTTTTTACTGCTGAAATTGAACCCTAGGCAATTCAGCTTAGAAGGAATTCTGACAAGCATCAGATCAGGATTTAATGTACCTCTTGTGTGGTTTTGAGGCACAGAAAATGTACACAATTCACCCTCTACCCAAATATGTAGATCAATACAACAACATTTTCATGATCTAGGCAACCCTCTCTTCCCACCCTTTTTGCTTCTCTTGTTAATTAAAGCTGAGGCAAAGTAATTCCGCTATTTAAGAATGAGCATGGATAATGCCTACTATGACAATTAGAATCCTGTCTTCAAAATAAATATACTGCTATTACAAAATTGGTCTCCTCTCCTGATGACTAATTGGTAAAGTCATGTTATAAAAGTGATAATTCTTCCTCCTCCCCATGCATTATGAAAATAGGCTTATTATGAATATGCATAACTCAAAGACATTGTAGGAAAAATACCTCATGTAATATCAATTTTAAAGTTACAATCTGATGAATGTGTAGGTCCTAGTTTTGTGCATGTGGTATTCTTGTATGTGACATTAAAATATGAAGTGTGGCTCTGTTTATAATTCTAAATGTACTAATGAGGGCCATTACTGATTCTAGGGAATCTTAATGGCTTGATAACCAATGACCTGTGATAATTTTGTTTTTCTTGTAAGACCCAACTGTGGTTATTGGGTCTACAAAGATATGAGGCCAAGCCCTCTGATGCGCTCTTTAATTGATAAATGGGGTGAATTTATGAGCTGTCTCTATGTAAACCTTTTACATGGGGTAAGGAGGATGTATTTGGGGTTTTGGTCCTTTTGGGGGGGTTTGGTTTCCTGAGTGCTGAGCCCTTATAGATAAGCTCTCTCAGAGCTGAACTGGTTCATCACCTGTATTACTCTGCAGATGTGTAGTAACCCCGACTCTGTGTCTTGGCTTGGGGGAGGTGAGAGCTTTTGGCCCAGCAGGACAGTGCATTGAGGAGCCCCAGAGGACAGGAAGGTGAGCGTCAGTAGCTTGATTAGCACACCAGGGGACAACCTCAACGAGATTTCTCTGATCCAACCTTTTACATTCCCCAAATTAATATTATGTATAAATATACCCAGACTTTGCACTGCTAATTATTTTAGAACTATAAGCATATCTCTTTGTTTCTGCTGGGAAAATAAAATCCCAAAGGCTGATAATGCAGTGATGCTGCAATCCAATAATTAAGAGATTTAATACTTGCTAGTTTATTCCACTGACATTGTAGAGTCTAGTCAACGTAGTTCTTGTGCTTAACAACTCATTCACAACTCCAGCAAACTCCATAAGAGAGGCATATGGACTCTGACATTTTTATGCTCCACTGAATAAAAATCAAGGGGAATGCCACATTTTCTGTTAATACTACCTGGCTGTGTCTACACTGGCATGAATTTCCGGAACTGCTTAAAACGGAATACTATTCCGTTTTCAGTTTTTCCAGAAAAGGAGCGTCTACATTGGCAGGCTGCTTTTTTGGAAAAACCCTTTTTCCGGAAAAGAGCCCCGATTGCCATTTTCCCGATCGGGGCTTTTTTCCGGAAAAGACTACTGGGCTGTCTACACTGGCCCTTTTCTGGAACAGTGTTCCAGAATAAGGACTTATGCCCGAGCGGGAGCAAAATAGTTCCAGAATAGTGGCTGATTTTGTACAGTAGAGCGTCATTGCTTTTCCGGAAATTCAAGGGCCAGTGTAGACAGCTCGTAGCTTATTCCGGAAAAGCGGCTGATTTTCTGGAATAAGTGGCTAAGTGTAGACACAGCCCCTATGTGGTGATAAATCAGTCTGTTCACTCCATCACAAAGGGGAATCGAAACACCTCACTGCGGAAATGAGGATTAAAGGAATTTCCGGACACAAGAGGCCATACCCATAGCACCGGCTAAGCATGCTCACAGGGAAGACAGCATTCAAATTTCCATAGACAGAGCAGGAGAGCAGTTAAGTGTTGCAGTTTCTGACAGAGGAATTGCTAAAGCTCCAGGTAGCCAAGACAGACTTTACAGTTAAGTCACTATACAACCTTTAAACTATGGAGGCCAAGGACAATGAGCTCATAGACTCCTAGAATATTAGAACTGGAAGTGACTTTGAGAGGTCATCGAGTCCAGTCTGCCACTAACTGAGGGAAAAACACCTCAGGAGTAACCTCAGTGAGATCCAAGGGGGATCCCAGGACAGACCAGAGGCACCAGAAGAGGAACTGAAAGAGAAATTATTTCTTGGGGTCCTGGATTGAAACTAATGGATCTTTGGGTCTTCCTGCTCCAATTCCCAGACACTGACTGTAGTCAAACTAGGCAAAGTTGCCAGTAACTCTTGCCATTTGGGGACACTTACTCCGACCACTAGGCAAAATTGCCACTGACTGTCATCATTAGGAACACAGCCAGCGACTACAGTTGCTAGACAAAGTGGCTGTTATATATGGAGTTGGGTTGTGTAGATATAGATCTTGTTGTTAGAGTAACTGAGTTAGGTCACGAGGGGTCAGCCCAGCCAGTTTAGACTCGTTCTAGATAGTTCTGTGTTATGGAATAAATGGACACTTGCCACTGCTCAAGCTCTCTGTGTTTCCAGTGATTTCTTTCTAAAGCATGGAACTCCAAATAATATAACAGTGGCCATCAGTTCTCTCCACTGGGAAACGCTACCATTGTCGCTGACTGCTATGAGAAGTGCCATTGATACTTGCAAATGGGTGACAGTCTAGAGTATCACTACTAGGCAATACTGCCGGCCCTTGACTCAAACTCCTCCTCCCCTCCTTTTCAGCACCACTTGGCAGCATTGGTATTCCAAACGGAGAAGAAACAAGAAAAAACCCTGTGGGAGAAATAATGAT